AGGAAATGCAGGACAAACCCTGCTCTTGTGTTCAGGTTACTTCCTCTTCTCAGTTTCTAATTATTATTATTATCATTATTATCATTATCATTATTATTATTATTGTTGTTGTTATTCAGGCAAAGGGCTGGATGTGTTGGTCACCCCTGTCCCCTCTCCAGAAGTGACATTTGCTCCTTATCCCTGGAATTAACTCAAGGAAGGCAGGACAAACCCTGTTCTTGTGTTCAAATTATTTCCTCTTTTCAGCTTCTATTTGTTGTTGTTGCTATCGGTGGTACTGTCAATAATAATAACAACAACAACAACAATAATAAATAGTATTATATAACATGAAATGTGTAATTTTAGCTTCTATTTGTAATTATTATTATTATTAACAACAACAACAATAATAACAACAACAATAATAATATATAATATTAAATTTGTCATTTTCAGCTCCTGTTTGTACTTATAAAATGTGTCTGACCAAGCCTGGAAATGCAGCCAGGACCAACCCTGCTCTACCAGGGCTCCCTCCTCTGCCCCAGTGCAGCACCAGGGGCTCCTGCAGAGCCTGGGATTCACCAAAACAAGGGAGGGTAAAGTCATCTGCTGGGATTACACTGTGCCTTCAACAAAACTGGGAGCAGAATCCATTGTTTCCATCAGGAATGCACTGAGCAGCAGCAGCCCAGTGTGCTCACCTGGTGACACAGCCCAAACCCAGAGAATCTCACAGAGGGAGCCACTACTGCACCAAACCCCGGGCAAAAAGCCACCTCAGGCATCTCAGGGAGTTATTTTTTGCCTTCTCTCATCTCCAAGGAGAACACACCTCCATGGAGCAGCTCCTGCCATGTGCTGTGCATCATGTGCTGGGCTGAGCCTCCACTGCAGACTCTTACATAAGGGATCCTGCTGCAGAGCCCTGCTGGGATCCTCCCTCTGCTCAGGGCTGGCCTGGCACTCCCTGCCAGGTGATTCCTGCACTCCACACATCCCTGCTCCATCCCAGTGTCCACTCTACACATCCCTGTTCCATCCTAATTTCCACTCCACACATCCCTGTTCCATCCCAGTGTCCATCCCACACATCCCTGCTCCATCCCAGCCCTGCTCCCCGCATTCCACACATCCCTGCTCTATCCCAATGTCCACCCCACACATCCCTGCTCCACCCCAATGTCCACCCCACACATCCCTGCTCCATCCCAATGTCCACCCCACACATCCCTGCTCCATCCCAGCCCTGCTCCCTGCACTGCCTCAAACCTCCCTGCTCCATCCCAGTCCTTCCTCTCCTGGGGCTGCAAACCTGCTTTGGTGATTTGCTTCCTGAGCCACCCGTGGCCTGGAGACTTGTGCAACAGGAAAACTTGTATTAATTCACCCAACAGATCACTCAGGAAATGTTTCTTACCTTTAACATTTCAACTTGGTTTCCAAGTCCCTTTGTGCACAGTTCCATGACTGAATAGGAACAGAAAGTGTCCCTTATTTTATACTGGCTGACAGTAGATAACCAGAGAAAAAGGTTGGATTCCAGCTCCATAGGAGGAATTAAAATTGACTGGTGTCCAGAATACACACTGGGAAGAACATAAAGGAAGAAAACATCTTTGTGCAGCTCGTAGTTATCTTTAAATTAATATTTACTGTATTAGCACGTTATGTTCCTGCTAAACCAAAAGCAGGCTGTGGGACTCTGCAGCTGAGGCAAACTGGAGCAGCAGCATTTGAAAAATGCAACTTACTGTACAAGAATAACAATCTGTGCACACACACAAACGTGCCCAAACACTGTCAGTGAGGGAACAGAACTGGCTCAGCCCCACACAGAACAAAAAACTCCCTTATTGCAACACATAATCAAGGAAGAAAGGGAAAAGAAACATTCTGGAGCCAGGAGCATTTGGAGGCACAAACAAACACAATCGAGATGGGATAATCTGCAGGAAAAGGGAACGTGGTGCTGTGAGTTCAAAGACAAATCCCCCCCCCACTGTAAACCAGTCACTTTGGTCATGTCAACACGTCTGGAATTACACCCAGAGGGACCCATTTCCAGAGGGACAGAGTTAATCTGTCCCTTTCCCCCCACAGAGAGAAAAAAGTCCTACCTGCAAAGGCACCAGAGCACGAATCCCAGCCCGCAGTAGGGGTCGAGGCAGATGGCAATCTGCCGGGAGGAGTAGAGCTCACACTGCAGCTTGATGGCCCTGCACAGGCCACTGACAGCAGCGTGGGACATCTGCAACACAAGGGGGACAACAGGGGACATCAGCAACACAGGGGGACATCAGCAACACAAGGGGACATCTGCATTCTAGGATTGCCAAGGGACTTTTCCAGGCTTCTGCAGGACTTTTGCATTGTACCTCTGATGGTCCACTGTACCTCTGATGGCCCATCAAAGCCCATCCCCTCCCCTCCCCGGGAAAAACCCCTTTGCCAGGCCCCTCACGTGAACTCAGCACAGACCCAGGAGATGCTGGAGGCTCCTGGCATGGCCTGTGACATCTTTTCTTTCCCTTACTCTCCCTTACCCTTCTCCTGTCTTTCCTTTCTCTCCCTTATGCATTTTCCCCCCGGGGGTTATCCCTGTGATAGATGATATAGATGACAACAGCCAAAAAGCTGACACACCTGTTCAAACAAAATTGTTAAGATGAATCCTACCTGTATGTGTTTAAAATAAACCCTACCTAGATATGTTTTCAAACACCAATTATTCAGTGTCGTTTCACTCTAATCCACCCCAAGGGAATTATTGATAAGAACCTGGGTTACCCCACCCCTTTTTTTCTGGGGTGGGTTGTAACAAGGGGACATCAGAAACACAGGGGGGACATCAGAAACACAGGGGACATCAGCAACACAGGGGGGACATCAGAAACACAGGGGACATCAGCCCAGGGGAGAGGTGCTTTCTGCAGGAGCCTCTGAGCCCCAGTGACCAGGAGCAGAGACAGCAACAGTTAAAGCTACAGGGGTTGAAGCTCCACCTCAACGGAGGAAGAACTTCCCATGACAGTGGCAGAGCCCTGGAACAGCTGCCCAGGGAGGCTGTGGAGTTCCCCCCTCTCTGGAGACATCCCAAACCCCCTGGATGTGCTCCTGTGTCACCTGCTCCAGGTGACCCTGTCTGGGCACTGAGGTCCCTTCCAACCCCAGCTATGCTGGGATCCAGGCATCCCTGATTCCAAACACACCTGAGCATTAAGGGCAGTCTAAAGCTTTCAGTTTTACTTTCTTATCCTCCTTTTTTTGCCAGCTGCACCCCTGTTCTGGTCCTGGTGAGGGAAAGCAGGAGCTCAGAGCTCTGCTGCTCTCCCAACAGGCAGCTCTCCAGAGGGAGGCAGCAGCAGAATTCCTGATCCCACCCTTGAGACCTGTTTTCCTCCACTGCAGAACTAACTCAGTGAACTAAAGTCCTCAGCTTTGTTAGAAGGAAATCAGGGTCTTCATTTAAGCTACAAGGACCAGCTTTGGTGGGGGTCAAGGGGAGCTGGCTCAGAAATCAGCCAGAGACATCTCCTACCCCATTACTATACCTTTACTCCTGTGAGCATGCCCGTTGTGGAGACACTAAAATCTAGATATGCCAACATTTCAGGCGTGGGTGGCTTATAGATCTGGGCCAGTCGCTTCCTGGGCAAGTCATCTGTGCAAGAGAGGAACAAACAGGTTAGTTTTGGTTCCTGAACTGCTACTTGAAAGGAGAACACAACTTTCAAAAAGCCAGAGAGGGAGGGAAAAAGCTTTCTATTAATTCTCTTTCCAAAAGAGACAGACTGGTGTATGGCAGGAGTCTTGCCAAAGCTCCCACGTAGGAATTTATTTATTCTCAGGAAAAGGGAGAGAAAAGACCAACTTGCCCTTGAATTAAGGAGATTAAAGTTGGCTGCAGCAAGGCTGGTCTGTACAGCCATTTTCCATGCACAGCTCAACAAACGCTCCCAGTGAACAAGGTCACAATTAGATTCCCTCTTGGACAGTTTTTGTAAATGTTCAAGCAAATTCTCCAGAGCCAAATGGGGGGACAGTCCCTCTGGGAGTCACCAATCACCCAAGTGATTCACACAAGTTCCAGAAGCCTTTTTGCCCCACCTGTGTCGATGATGGTTGGCCAGGTTTTCACATCCACAGCTCCAGCTGCCTCCCTGGACTTGAGCAGCCTCATCAGGGTCTGGGTTGTGAGGATACAGGCGGCTTTGCTGACCTGGAGAGAAAAACACTCACTGCAAAAAAGAGACAAAACCCTGGCCTGGCAGCACTGCCACTGCAAGGCCTGCTGTTCAGGGACTGTTTTATCACCTCCAGCCAGTTTCCCTCAGCAAACCTGAACTCCCCTTCTCTGCCTTTTGCACACCCTGCTCTGCTTTTCCTTCACTAAACCTCCAGTGCAGCCCAACCTGCCCAGGACCTGCCAGAACCTTCCGGGCAGGCGACGACGCGGCACAGCCACATCCAGCTTTCTCCCAGGGAGGGACTCTCCCCGTCCAGCTGTGGAGGGCAGTGACTGAGCAGCTCTGGGTGGGTGCCTGGCACCCAGGCAGGGTGTCCCCAGTGCCCCAGCCCCCCTTTGCTCACCTCCACAATCATCCTCACGGTGGGCAGGGTCGCGGTGAGGCTCTGGGCGTGGGGCGGGCGCACGGTGACGGGCACACAGCCGGCGTACAGGCAGCCATAGAAGGCTGTGATGAGCTCAATGCCTGCAAGGACAGGGCAGCTGGAGCAGGGGACACCAGCGAGGGACACCCTGGGGACACCCTGGGCACTGCTGCTCCTCCAGGAGGTTCCTTCCTGCTGGGTAAGGGGGACGCTCCCATGGCGCGGATGCACACCGAGGGCAGGAAGTTTGGGATAGGGGATTGGGAAGGTAAAGCACAGAAAATCATCTCCACTGTACAGGAAAAGGACATCTCGAGTGTCAGCTGACTCAAAGGCAGTCAGGACATGGAGCAGTGTCTGGCAGGGCTGTAGGTACACACTGGTGACCAACTCACACCAGCAGCGAGTGTCTGTCCTGGATTTCCATATCCCAGTGAGGAAACCAAAGAAAGCCCAGGCTGCACTGGCTCCCAGTGGGGCCCAGCCATTCCCAAAAACCACTCACCAGGAGGATAAAGAAGCACCACATTGTCTCCTGCATTGAGATGTCCTTTGTCACAGAGCACTGACGCGATTCTCTCGGCCTTCTTGTGCAGCTGAAGGCAGGTGGCTGTGCACACAGTGGTTCCCTTGAAAGGACACAAAAATGCTCGAAACGGGGGCTGGCACAACCCCAAGTGGCTGCTGTGAGATCAAACCAAGCTTGCTGGGCTAGCAGGAGGCTACAGCTACGAGTTATCTCTACCTAAAGGCTGCTGGCGCTCAGTGAGCCACTTATCCACTACGGTATCAAAGGACAGAGATGGAGTTAGATCTGCTCTAGAAAATTCTACCTTCCAGGGAGTCAAGTTCAGGTCTTCTCGCACCAGAACCTTGCCAGAATATACTCAACAGGGATACACCATTAACTGATACAGGAACCAGTGGGACCTACAAACAGGCTCAGTTTGAAAACGAAGCCTCGAACCGTGAGAGTCGTTCGCTGAAGGGACCTACAGGGTCAAAGGGTCAAGTTTTGAGTTACAAACCTATGGGCAAAGGCTGATACAGAGACTAAAGAGAGGCACTGCAGAGGGCAGAAGATTTTAAAGACAGTCTCAAACTGGCACTGAATGAATAACACGTGGGCCTTGAAATCCAAGAGCTCAGCACTGACCGTACCTTGGCGTTCAGCAAAAGGAAGAGTGGGTGGTCAGGAGTGGCTTGAGCTCTCCACTGCAACACCTCTGTCAGGAACTGGTGCTGGAAGAGAGAGGCAGGAATTTAACACCAACCAGAGCTGGAGGGGAAACCCCTTCCCCTTCCCCAGCTCTGATCAGAGCTAATTTACCTTTTTAACTAAATCGTTGTCTTCCAGCTGGCCCAGGTCTCTCCCCGAGGCCTGAGCGATTCGCTTCCCAGCAACCAGGTTCCCCACCATCACAGAGGCAGGGCCCACGCCTGGGGAGAGAGAACAGCCTGGAATGGGCACTCTGGGAAAGCAGAGAGAAGGTACAAAGAGTGTCTGCAGGATCCCACCGCTCCCGGGCACGGATGCAGGAGGAGAGGGAATGAAACCCCACTGAGGGAGTTCAGCAGGCACTGCTGGTCTCTGCTCACCAGCAGGGAGAATCCCAGTGAGTTCAAAGGTAGGAATCAAAATTCCTGACTAACACATGCAAAGGAGAGGCCTCAAACACGCCCCAGCCACGGGGCATGAGACAGGCTCTGGTCCCACAGGGAATGGGACACGGAGTGGGACACGTCACCACCGACACCAAAAGGGCCCCAAAAGGGGCTCAGGTTACCTGGCTGTTTCTGCCTGGGCTTTGGCAAGTTTGTCACACAGGTGTGTGGGCACATGAGGATGTTGCAGGGGTGCAGAGAGCCCTCCAGAAAGTGCTGTTTGGTTTGTGAGATGTGGATCCCTCCCAGTGGAGTTTTTGGCAATGTGTTGGCTGGCACGAGAGCAAGGCAGTACACACCCACTTGGTGAATGCTGTCAATGGCCTGCAGAGAGGAGAGATGGTCACTGCAGCTCCTGCTGCTGCTGTTGCTGACTGCACTGGCACTGCAGGGCAAATCCCTGGATTTCTGAGGTGCTGGAGGAGCGAGTCAATCACTGACATCCCGTTTCACCCCTGCACCACCAGCCAGCCCTGCAGGGAGAGCCCCAAGTGCTGGCACATCCCTGCCTTTACAGCCCATTCCACAGACACCAAATCCATTTTTAAATCCTTCATGACCAAAATCCCAAAATACCCACAGTTGCCTGATGAATCACAGGATTCTGATCTCGGGATTGTATCCATCTGTCTCCTCTGAACCATCACACTCTGTTCCTTTCTGCCCACCTCAGCATCCAGGCATCTGATCCATTATTCACAGCACCTGATTTCCCTCCCCAGCTTGCACACTTCATACCCTGAGTGTCATTCCCAGGAAGGACACACATGCAGCTTTCAGAGGAAGTATTTGCTACTCATTCTGCTTTTAGGACCACACTCATTCAGCTGGTTTAACCTTCCTCTGCTCACTGTCTCCCTGCTGAAAATGCAGCTCCAAACTCTGAGCTCCTCAGGATCCAGACTAAAAGCAGAACTCCAAAGCTTGAGCACAGATCTGCTCAGCAGTGCTGAGGGAACTGTTCCTCCAGGTTGGAAAGGACCTTAAAGTTCATTCCATTCCCCCCCCCCCATGGACAGGGACACCTTCCACTAGCCCAGGTTGCTCCAACTTGGCCTTGGAGCAACTTCCAGGGATCCAGGGGCAGCCACAGCTTCTCTGGGCAACCTGTGCCAGGGCCTCCCCACCCTCCCAGGGAGGAATTGCTTCCCAATATCCCATCTAACCCTGCCCTCTGGCAGTGGGAAGCCACTCCCTCTTGTCCTGGCACTCCAGTTCCTTCAGGGCACAACAGAACACCTTGGACACAGGAGATGCAGCAGCTTGTGACCCTGCACAAACCCCCTGTGCCAAGAGGGATCCAGAGCCTTTGCTCCCTCCATCCCAGCGTTCTCTCCATCCCTGTTCTCTCTCCATCCCAGTGTTCTCTCCATCCCTGTGCTCCCTCCATCCCACTGTTCTCTCCATCCCTGTTCTCCCTCCATCTGGGCCATTCCTCTGCTCTTCCCACCCCCCCAAAATGTCCCCCCCTGACCTGCAGCACCCGACTCATCCACTGGAAGCTGTCCTCCTCGGAGGCATCCGGCCTCTGCTCCGCCACCACCACGATCCTCTCGTCGTAGAACACGGACACGGAGAACACGGCGATCCTACGGGAAAGGGGGAGAGCCCCAGAGGCACAAATTCCAGCTCTGTTCCTTGGGAATGGGGAGCCCCAAGGCAGAGCTTGTGAAAATAACCAGGGGAGCAAAGACAGAGAGAAAAAAAATCAGGCAATTCAAATGGAAAAGGAAAGACTGGGAAGTGTTTAAGGGGTTAATTCCATCTCCGGGTGAAACTTCCACATGGCAAAGTCCTCCCAACCTGCTGTCACATTCCTGTTCCAACCTGTGGCAAATCACCAAGGTAAGAAGCCTTAAAGGCACCCACATGATGGTTTAAAATTTCCCTCTGGAGACACAAGATCCAGCCCTGCCTGAGGATCTAAAAAATATCAACAACTGCCAAATAAAAACCAAGTGTCTTTGGGCATTAATGAAACCCTTCCTTGCTGCAGAGCACCAGCCAGCAGCTAAAGACTAAAACTCTGCAGAGACAGGGAATTAAATTCTCCATGGGGCTGACTTGTGACTCCTTCCCCTAAAGCACAAAGACTCCATGGAAAGCCAGGCTGGATACTGGGAAGAGGGTGGACAGTGGGGAAAAAGACCCGTGTTGGTCGGGCAGGATCAGGCCAATCACCACCTAAGTCAAAAATACATTGACTTTAACTGAGCTGCCCAAAGGGAAATCCAAGATAACATTGAAGACCCTGTTTCCCTGTATTCCATGGGGGTTTCTGGTGCTGACCTTCCTCTGTAAACTGTCTTGATGGACTCCACGGCCAGGCCGGTGGCCACGATGTCGTCGGCGTTGTGCCTCCGCCCGCTCACCATCAGCAGCCCGTCCATCTTCCCCACCACGAACACCAGACTGCCCTGCAGCACAAGGAGCCACCTCTGAGTTCTCCCCACACTCCCTCTGGCCCCAAGGGCTTCTCTCTGAGCCCCTGGAGGCCCCGAGCAGAGGGACAGAGCGGTGCCGAGCTCGGAGCTGCCTCACGTACGGGGCCGACAAATCCCAGCAAACCGGAGCGGACAAAGGGCACTTCCCCCACTGGAGAGCCTGAGGAGTTCACAGGGATCACCTGCAACACATTGGGGAGCACGTTGGAGGCCAGTGGGTTTGCCTGAGGGCAGAAAAACCTTCCCCACACCCCTTTATGTGAGCCCTTGGTGCAGTCGTTGTTTCAGCAGTGGGGGAGATGTCTGTGCAAGGGGAATGCTCAATACCCCTGACTGTAAGGAGCTTCCCAGGGTATATTTTTAAAAAAACAACATTACACTTCAGTTACAAACCCAAGGGATTACACAAGGCTACCAGTTTTACAGAGAAAACAGGGCAAGGACATTCTGCTGTACATACCTCGAAAGTGTTCTTTGTCACCCCTGCCAGCCCATAATACATCATCCCTCCTGCTCTGGAGCTCACACAGATCTCACCAATCTCGTCTGTTTTGCAGAGCTGGGGTGGCCCATCGGGTTTCACAATGCACATCATGCCTAGGACAGACCAGGCTTTGTTAAAACAGCCCCCAGACTTGGCCTTGGGTGAGAAGTGACCCCCTGAACGGTGACAGGAATGACAGTCTGGCCCTGCCCCACCTCCCCCACAACAAGGCTGGCTATGGGAGAGAACATTGACCTGTTCCTCTCCTAAAACAGCCCCAGAACAGTCTTTTAGGAGCCTCCTGCCTGTTTTTACCTCCTGGCATCACGTGGCCAACGTCCTGGACGGTGAGAGCAGAGTTTTTATCTTCAGTGTTGACCCGAATCACCCCGAAGCTCAGCCCGTTCATGGACAGGATGGCTCTGCCTGGCAAAGGGGCCCCAGGGACTCCAGGCCTTTGAAGGACAGAAAATCAATGAACACACTCCATCAGGCACCCGGCTGGAGACACCACAGCAACAGAAAGAGGAGGATTTCAGTGTCTCTGCTTTGCACAGCGACTTAAAACCGAGATGGGCAGGAGGAACTGCCTTCCCAGAAGAGCCACGCTGATCAATCCCTAAAGAATTGTGTTCCTGGGCAGTGCAGCTCCTCTCCCAGCTCGTTATCTCCCCCAGTGCTAATCCCCAGCTCCTGGGTCAGATGACTGCAGGGCTGTTTGTCACAGAAGGCAGGGGATGAAAATGTCCAGAGCGGTCTCAAATCTAACCCCAGGCTCAGAACACCCATCCTGTGACCCTGTGACTCCCAACACCCCCCTGGCTGTGGAGCTCAGGAGCAGGAAAAGCAGCTGTGGGGATCAGGAGCAGGAAAAGCAGCGGCCAGGCCCTGCTGAGCTGCTCCAGCCCAGGACACACTCGTGTCTCAGGAGGGATATTTATCAGCTCAGCCTCTCCAGGTATCTCAGCACACCCAGCAAATGTCAGTGGAGTTCATTACATGCTTAAATCAACTCTGAGCAAGCCATGTGTGAACAAAGCCCAGCCTGGATGAGTCAAACCCAGCAAACAGACGGCGACGGTACCTCCGGATCGCGATGGTCATCGCCTCGGGCGAGGTGGCACAGGGACAAATCGCCTCTGGTTTGAGCCCATGGCTCTGGAACAAGCTCAGGAAGGCATCACAAGAGGAGACAGACCCTGGGAAGAGAGAAAATGTCCTACTAGGACCTCACAGGATTTGATTTGATGCCCATCTACGGGAAAGGTCGGGAGGAGGATGCAGGAAACGACGAGAGGAAGCGGCTTCGAGTTGTGCTGGGGAGGTTTAAGTTGGATATTAAGGAAAATCTCCTCACTGAAAGGCTGGCACAGGCTGCCCAGGGAAGTGGTGGAGTCACCAGCCCTGGAGGGAATTAAATGATGTGTGGATGTGGCACTTGGGGACGTGGCTTGGTGGTGAACGTGGCAGTGCCGGGGAAGCAGTTGGGCTCGATGATCTTAAAGGTCTTTTCCAACCTAAACAATTCTCTGATTTTATAAACTGTCTCCCCACTGCTCCCAGCCCAACCTCTTCCTGTACTTTGCAGGATCTCTCAGACCCCAAGGGGTGGAAGGATGGGAACCCCTCGTTCTGGTGCCCGAGCACCACGAGCCAGAGCTCCGAGATCTCCTCGGGGGTGTCTCCCAAGGGAGTGGAGGTTGATCCCACAGGACACCAGCTGAGCACCCCCTGCCCTGGGAGCCCCCAGGCTGCCCCCACTCACAGGGATTTGCACCATCAGTGACGATCAGCATCCTCAGGGAGCTCAGACTCACGTCTCTTTGGTCTCGATGGGCCATCATGGCCCAGTGCAAGTCTCGACACTTCACCAAAGCCACTTTTGCTGCAAACCAACACAAAAAACCACAGGTGAGGACAAATAAAAACCTTCCACGAGTCACTGTCATCCACATTCCCAAATGAGGAAGCTCTCACCAAAGCAAGGAAGCCTTAATTAACTGAGCCTGCTTAACAGCAAACCCAACACACAGTGGCATCTGCTGTGGCCTGCAGGCCACTGCCCACCACCTGAGCCAGGGTCTGTCACCCTCACAGCTCCTCCTCCAAAGGCCACAAATCATTACCACCCTCTGGATGCCCTGGGATCAACAGCTCTTGCTGTGCTCAACCATTCCCTTGGTTTCATCCAAGAAACTGGCTCCAAGTCAGGAGGTCCCCCCCAAGTTCCCCCATGCTCACACGGCATTAGGATTTATTTAGGAATAAATCAGAATTTGTGCATGTTTAGAAATAAATGGCACAGTCCCCTGCCCTCCCAACCTGCTGTCACATTCCTGTTCCAGCCTTGGAGCAGGTGGCAAATTGGTGGAACCAGCCTTGGAAAACTGGTGGCAAATCAGCCCTGTAAGAAGATTTACAGGTATCTACACGACGCTGGGGGCTTAAAATCTCCCCCTGAGCCTCACACGAGCTCCAGCCATGCCTGAGCATCCAGAATATTGGGTCTACAGCTGCCAAATAAAAATTTTTGGACATGAGTGACACTCTCATCCCTTGAGATTTGTCAGGGGAGGGCAAGAAGATGGGATCTGATGCATCTGAGATTTTAATGCCCCCCTGAGAGCTCCAGGGTGGAGCTGTGGGATGTCCTGAGTTACCTTTGTGGGCATGGACCCTCTGCACCCAGGAGAGAGGGCAGGTTTTCATCACAGAATAGGGCACGCTGATGGTGTGCAGTTTGTTCATTACATTCTGAAAAGCAGGAGAAAGGTGGTTAGAAAAGGGCTCACAAACCTTTTATCGAGCAGAATTTAAGAGTCACTCTCAGTTCCCATCAACCCCTGCCATGAATTCACAGGGGTTCAGTGGGGATGGTTCTGTGATTCCCTGGGAGAACTGCAGATGTGGCAGGGAGAGAAATGGTTGGTTTAACAGGTAATGGTCCTCAAATGCTGCCTTTACCACATTTCATTGACTCAAGGAATCCCAGACTGGTTCGGTCTGGAAGAGACCCCAAAGCTCCTCTCATTCCACTATCCCAGGAAAACCCGGCCTTGGACACTTCCAGGTATGGAGCAGCCACAGCTTCTCTGGGAAAACCATTCCAGTGCCTCCCCCCCACCCTCACAGGGAGGAATTTTTCCCTAATATCTAAAGCAACCATTAGTCATTAACCTCTCATTAATCCTGGAGGGCTCTGGAATGCTCCGACTCACCGTGAGAATTCCGTGCCACAGCCCTGCATCCTTCTTGAAGTCCAGCACATTCACTATCGTTTCACCTGGGAAAAGAAAGCTGGACTTGGTGAAGTGCAAGGTGGCAGGAGAGCTGCTGGAATGTGCCCGTGGATGAACCTGTCCCAGCCCCTGCCAGAGCTGCTCCACGGGCACGCGGAGCCCTCCTTACACGTGTGGCTGCTCCCAGCTCCTTGTCATGCTGAATAACAACTGCACATCCATTTCTGAGCAGGAACAGGGCCCAGAAAGCTGCCAGGAAATCACATCCCCAGCCTGGAACAGCCCATCAGCAGGACAGGAAGGCTCTGAGCCTCGTCATGCACGAGTGGTGAAGGAAGGGAAGGGGAGTGGGGAACATCATTCAAGCCCTGACTCCCAGAAGCAATGGAAACTCAAGTGATGGATTCCAAAAGACAGACTTTGCATTTTAAAGCACTTTGACCTACAGCTCTATAAATAGTTTCACTCGTGGATCAAGGAATTAGCTTGAATTACAAGGCAGACCAGACTAAAACTGTATCCCAGAGCAGAACTCTATGGAAATCTCACCAAAGTTTTCCCATCTCCACTTCTGGGTTACCCAAAAAAAAAAGCCTTATGGGACCAGAACAGCCCCAGCAAGGGGTATTTACACACCCTCGGGAACAAAAGTTTGGGAAGACATTTCCATGGGGAATCAGAGGGGACTTGAGCTCGCTGGAAAATGCTCCAGTTTCAATTCATTTGCTCCCCTTTTGGTTCAGCAGAACAGACCCAGCAACTCCCCAGACATGATGCAAACCCCACTTTTTACTCCTCTGCATTATGGTTGTGAAAATGATGCAATTTTGGATGGAAAAACATCACACTCAGCCTTCACTTCTGGGGGAGAATCAACCTGCGCTTTTTATTTCCTTTTTTTTTTTTTTTTTTTTTAAGCAGCTCTTGGTCACTCAGAGGCTGCTGTGAAACGCAGGAGAGGCAACCACACCAGAAGAGGCTGCTGACCCTCCGTTCCTTTGATGTCCTGTGCCCTCACCCACCTTCAGAGTAGTTGCAGGCCTGAGACAAGGCTTGGCAGTGGGCCAGCATGGCCACCCGGGACACCGTGACCCCCATGACACTGCCCTCCTTGCTGGTCTTGTACTGCAGGAGAGAGGAGAGAGTCAGGGAGGGACCTCTGGATCCCGTGGGTGGAGGAGATTCAACCACAAAATGCAAATGAAATCAAGTTTCCTTTCTCTGAAGCTGCTGAGGCAAACCCCAAAGCCACGTGCTGGCAGGGTCAGCCCCGAGGGGATGGTTCTTGGGGGGGCAGCTCCAGGGAGGTGGGGGATAAAAATGGGTGTGCTGGTGTTTATCTCACTGCCACTGATGCTCACAGCATCTCTCCCTGCTCCCACAACAAACTGAAAAGCCAGTCTGTGATTGAAGGATGGCCAAATCACTCCTCAAACCACTGCAGTCCCTGGAAGTTGCCTTCTGGCTCACAAAGAAAGATCAGCTCTGCCAGGAAGAACCAGAACTCAAACTGAATGTGTGTTATCCAGCACCATCTCAGGGCTCAGCTGCCTCCACTCCTCACTTTCTGGAACAGGAACAGTTCTCCAGCTCATTCCAGTCAGTGCCCAAGGCCACGAAGGGACTCAAAAACTAAAAAACTCAAAAACTAAAAGGAGCTTCCCAGCAGGATGTCCCCAGTGAAAGCCTCGTTTCAGTGGCAAGAAAGTGGGGAGTTTAAGGGAGTGAGGTGAAACTATTCTCCCTCTGGTGATTAGAACATTAAATTCAGCTCATGGAAGCCACTTTCCATTCCCCATTCACTGCTTACCTCAATATATGCTGGCTCAGTTCCTGCTGCTGAGATGTTGGGCTGCCAGTCCTTGGGAGATTTGGAGAGATATTTTGAATCTGTCACAACCCATTTGAGTCTGGGCCAACCTGGAGCCAAAATTAAACAGCACATTAATATCAGCTTATTTACTGAGGGATTTATATTCTGCAGGAATGCACTAAACCCCATCATTTGTCCAAGCTGAGTTACACAAGCAGAATTCCAAGCCAAGCCCAGCTACCAACCAGAAGGTTCATCTCGTTTCTCATCAGGGAGTTCAGTGGGCAACAAGGTACTTCCTTCTCCTCAGGAAAGATCCCTGCAGCATTCCTAAAAATACCCTGTTGTATTGGGAATAAACTGCCTTGGAACCTGCCAAATGCCACTGAAGGGACCTGAGGACAACCCTGAGGTGGTTCCTCGTGGCTTCCAGAACCCCAAAGTTCCACCAGACACGTGGACTGATCTCACCACGCACTCAAAACCCACAACAGTTTGGTGACAGGACCAGAAGTCGCCCCCTTTGCCCCCCCCCCAGATGCCTCCAGGCTCCTGGAAGCTCCTTTCAGCCAGTTCAGCTCCAGTAGAAGCACCACCAGGAGCTGCCACAGAACTGACTCACCTTTGAACTGCACAATTTCCCCGTTCTGGGTTTTTGGGAGCCCTTTCAGACACACTTCAGTGGTGAGGGCCAGGGCAATGCCACAGCTCCCCAGCAGGAAGCCAATCTGCTGCCCACCAGCATCCTGAGGGAAGAGGGGGAGAAGTCACTCCCTGTTCTAAGGTGACCTGAAGTGAGATTCCCCCTCACCAAAATCCAGGGTTTGGTAACGCTCTGGGAACTGGGGAGGAAGAAGAAGAAGAAACAACCCATTCCCACAAACACCCAGAATCACAATTAGAGCAAGCTGGCCTAGTGGAAGGGGTTCCCTACCCATGGAAGAGGGTGGAACTGGGTGGGCTTTAAGGTCCCTTCCAACCCAAGCCATCCTGGGATCCTGTGAAATACATCCCTGGCAGGATTAAAATGCACTGGATGTGAAATCCAGAGAGAACAAGTGCTCCTGCCCAGCATCCAGGCAGGGCTCACACCCCGTGCAGTGTCATTAATGGAAACCCAGATGCTCCAAAGAGGAATTGAGAGGTAAAACCAAAAAGCAGAAGGTGTAATTACACCCAAATAACGAGACCTCTCCATCCCCAGGAGCTGATTCCTGCTGCACAGTGACAAAAACCCTGAAATGAGGAGGCTCAATCAGGGACTGACTGGGCAAGGTTTGAATTTTTCATGTGGTTGTCACAGCAGTTTGTGCAGAGAAATGGAATCAGAGCTCTGTGATCCCAGAGTGTTCCCAGACCAGTTCCCACCTCTCCTGCCACATGTTTGCCAGGAGCCTGTTGCCTTTGCTTCCCTTAGGAAATCCTCTGGTTTCCCACAGCCCTTGACATGGCAATAATGTGGCAACAGTGCAGAGATTCTGGCCAAGGGGGTGAGGAAAACACTTCTGTGGAGCAAATAATTTACAAGAAGTGCCTCAGAAACCTTCAGGAACACTGAGCACCAGCAAGGCTGGACTGAGCCCCCCTCCCATCACCCAGGGGTGTCAGGTCCTCCCTGTTCTGCCTTCCCCAGAGATGAGCTGCAGGGAGGGGATGAAGGCTGCAGCTTTCAGGAGAACTGAGCAGCCCCAGCTGCTCAGCACAGCTCTGGTCAATATGTTTTTCCACTTGGAAATGCCATTCCAGGCTCCCAGAGGTCCTCGTGGGCACGGAGCTGCTCAGGCAGCAGCTGGAGGCTGGGAAAACGCTGTCAGAGGCTGATGGTCTGACTTGGTTTCCATCCCACCATCAGCCCACGGCTCCTCCAAGTTCCAGCAACGTTACCTTTCTGGTAAGAGGTACCTCTATAGGCACTGGGATCACTTCTGCCAGCAGACAGCCATAAAATGCCACCATGAACATCACGGGGTCGTTGTTGGGGTAGACAAGGGCCACCTGCAACCCACACAGGTGTGCTGTTACTTGAAACAGAAGTCAGAGCTGCACAGTTCAGACCTGCAGGGACTAAAACTCGGGAAACTTTGTGCTTTTTCACGTTTTTTTCCTCCCACAGAAGGCATGGAATGGGCCTGAGCTCCTCATGGAGTTGTCACCGTTCCCACAGGTCCCCACGTGTGAGGGTTGCTCACACAGCCAAAACACAGAGATCAGACCCTGGGTCTCTCTCAGAGCTGCAGAGCTCTGCCTCAGATGTATTTCAAAGCCCAGAGATAAAAAGCTGCTCCCAGAGGAGCCAGAGCCACTGCAAAATTACAGGAATTCCTTTCCCCAGTAGCCTGTCCCTGGGATCAGGGAACTGCTGTGCAAAGAACACAAGATCCCCGTGCCTGTGGCAAATTACAGCCCTCCCAAAACCCCAGAGGGAGAAGCAGGCAGCCTAAAGTGATTACCCTGTCTCCAGGTTTTAACACAGGCTCGTTTTTGGTCCCCAGTTTATTGAGCAGGGTGTAGGCCAGCTTGAGACTTCTGCTCCACAGTTTGCCTGGAACACAAGAGAACAGGGACTTGCACAGCTCCAAACCAGCCAGCACAGGGGAACAGTTCAACCCCTGGCTGCTCTCACCCCCTGGTGTGGCCAGGGAGGTTTTTGGGAGCCCCTTCCCCACCCTGTGCTGTCCCCACTGCTGCTCCCTGAGCAGGGGCAGGGAGGGCTCGGCCCCACTCACCATATGTGAGGGTGTAAACGGGTTTTCCTGTCACATCCAGGGCTGTCAGACAGGGACACTTGGCCTGGGTGGTCCCCCAGCGCTGCAGAGCTGCTTCCAGGGCAGGAGGCCAGTTACAAACCACTCCCAGGGGCTCCCCCTTCACCGGGGTCATCTGCCTGCCCTCGGGCTTGGGCTGGTTGGGGTCGGGCTGGGGAACTGAGAAAATGCAACACTATTTCCAGTAGATACATTGGAATGTTTCCAACACAATCCAAACACAATATTCCCACTCCTTTCCCACCCGTCACCCGCCCGCTGAGCTGGGAAGACACTGAAAACAAACGTTTTCAGCATTTAAAAACCCCCAGCCCATTTCTGCCCAAAACAAGCCATGGGGAACAGTCTTCTCCCAGGGAGCTGTTTAAAGGTGTTCAACACATCAAGTGAGGGGCAGGAACAGAGGTGGAGAAAAGGAAACCTTACAGAAATAATGGCTGGGATGAAACCTCCAGTAAGGACAATCCCTCCTGGGAAATTAATTAATGTGGCCTAAGCAAATGAAGGGGTTTCAAAAACCTATTTAAATAGTTTTCTTAAGAAGTTTAGTGCTGAGGAGGTCCCCCAGAGCTCAGCAGAACAAGTAAATTACTTCAAACACTGGGTTTGTGTCAGACTCTTCATGGAGGCTGCTGCAAACACTGAATCAGAGTCAACCAGGGCACAAATGAATTTTCTTTGCAGGTGTAACAGTAACAAATGATGAACAAAACCATTCCTTGTGCCATTACCTTCCACGATTTCTTCAAAATCATCCACAAAGAATTCTTTCAGGGGTGGTCTTTTGGGCCTTTTCAAGGTGTTGAGCAGCTGCTGAATTTTGGTGGAGACTCTGCTGCTCACAGGGACACCTGAAGGGGAAGATTTGGGCCAATAATAAAAGTGTTCTTCCTGTGCCTGTTACAAACATTTACACCTCAGCTCCTCCCAGTGCAGGGCACCCACTCATTCAGCTCTTGCTTTCTGTTATTAAAGCTGTGCCAGTGCAGGAGGGGCATTAATTTTGCATCAGCTCTGTATTAACTCTGGTCACAAAACGCCATTGACAGAGATTCGGTTTTTAAAGCATTTCCTCCCTTCCAAATCCTGATTTTCCTCAGCAGAGGGGACACACCAGGACACCAGTGTCACCTCCTGCACAAAGCCTTCACTCAGCCAGCCTGGAGCACCCTCAGCTCCACGGGAGCTCAACCAAGAGCCCGGAATTAAATCATTCCGTTCTTCCTTCTCCCTTTTTTGGGGACCCTGGGACAAAAATCTTTCCAAACCAATCAGCCCCACCCATGCATTTGTCATTTTTTTACCCTCCCATCCCTACCATCAGCAGTGTCCATGAGGCTGGAGCGGTTGGATCCCTTGTGCATCCCCTTCACAATTCCAGAGGGAGGGAGGTCGATCGCCGCCGGCCGGGCCGAGGGGGTGGAGGTAGTTGCTGTGACATCTGGGGGAACTGAGAAATTTTCTAAAAAGAGGGAAGAAATCGGTTAAATACTCCTTTTAAATCAGGTGGCACAAGCAAAAAAGTTGTCAGTGACCTGTCACCAACGTTTAAGGGTTTAAGGGGTCGGATGTCTGTTTAATTATTAATGCCAAACACTCTGATCCCTAAATGTGAAGCACATTTATCTGCTCTGGAAAAACCAAAAGCCAAAGGCTCCATGTCAGGAAAGTGGTTCAGCAAACCAGGATTCCTGTTCTTGGTTTCTAAACCTTGAAGCTCAATCTTGTGACATTCCAAACTTTAAAAAAAAATTAAAAAAATATAAAAGTTTGAGATTCACGTGAGCTCTGAAATCTCCAAAGCCCAGCACAAACCCCTCCCTCACCTATGCACTGGTTCCTCTTGCTAGAATTTGACTATTTAGCTTTTTTTGTCAGTCAGGGCTTTCAAAAACAAAACCATGTGAGAGAGAGTTTGACCAAAGCAGATCAGCAAAAATCGAGTTGGGTTTCAATTCCTTCCAGCTGGGTGGTTACAGAGCCTGCCCAGCACTGACAGAACAAACCCCACAAAAACAGGGTGAGCTGCTTGAAGGTGCAAGACACTGTCCTGCCTTGGAGAAGAGGCTGGAAGTGCATCCTGCAGGAATTTTCCAGTGAACTCTCTCTTAAATAAAGGGTTTTTTGCTTATGTGGGATTTCTTTACACGACCCAGCGGGTTCAGTCATCTGAGAGGGCAAGAATATTCTATTCTGGCTTAACAGCACCAGCAACTGGTGCTTACAAAGGAAAAAAAAAACCAACAAATTCGAAGCTCAGAGAGCCTGGAGCCAGATCCTACATAATTCCCACTGAAAGGGTTTTGTGGTTGGTTCTGTGTTGATTTCCCTTTTTCCAGGGATTAAAACCGACCCATTTCTGCATCCCTTTGGAGATACAGGGGCAAGAAACACTCCTCAAGCACTGCACTTCTCAGATCACTGAGAAGGACCTGGATTTGTGCAATCCAAACATCTGCAGGACTTTTTATTTCCCTCTCCAGAGAGATGCACAGAATTGTGTGAGAGCTCTGCTCACTTAAATCAGCTGTGAACACGGGGTGACTGTGGCAAATATGATTCTGACACAGATTTAAAGCTTCTACTGTGCATAAAACACTAATTAGATTAGACAGTAGATATTCTGTGGGTGAAAAGCTGTATTACCTTAATTCATTGCAAAAGGTAACGTGGCTTTCTGCATTCTCCAATTAAAAACAGCCTCTCTGCTTCAAAGACATTCATTATATCGACTACATTTTATGGGCAATTTCCTCAGTTTTCCATTTCAGGAAACAGTTTGCATCCCAGCAAATAAACAGACAAAAATAACGGCAATAAAAAACCCAAACAAATAAGTTGAAACAGTCCAAACCACCAGCACTTCTATGCACTGCTTGCCCCCAAACCAGTTAAGCAGAAGCAGAGAGCACACGGAATACAGACACGTCCTACAGGTGCAGGAATTCCCTCCCCAGCAGCTAAAAAAAGGACAAAAACATAACACAGAGCAAAAAAAAACAAACTTGGCCATTTCATACAGAAGCATCAGCAGCAAAGGAGCACCTCAGAGCCTCAGAAAACTGAGCCTGGGGGATCCAGATCTGTAGATTCTGCTCCATCTCCTCAGTACCTGGATGCTCTGGTTGTTCCTCAGCCAGTCAGGGCAGAGCTGGGCTGAAGCTTTACTCTGATCAACCCATTTTATTTTTTTTTTAAGGGCAGGTTCATTTGTTCACACACACAAGGCTGGGTTTGGCTCTTTCTCTTTCCTGATCTAAGGCAGACAACAAACCCTCGGGGCTCAGATGAGGATGGGCAAACACAAGCACTTCCCCACTCCACGGGCACAGACACCCCAAGGAATTTGGGACACGGATGGAAAAGCCACTTGCAAGGGGCAGCTTTGTGCCCACAGGAGCTCCTGAGAGCTGTAGACACAAAGCAACACAGCACAGAGGTTGTGCCTCCTGCTCTGCCCACGCTGTCCCTGGAGCCTCCCCGGCTTCCAGAGGCTCCTGCTCCCCTTTTCCAACTGCCTCGAATCTTCCGAAATTCTTCGGGGGGAAAAAAAAAAAACCCACAACGTGCTGGTGGGACTCCAACCAGCCCTGGCAGGTTCCATCAACACCAGCTAAACCCTCACTCCGAATTTCCCCGTGGGGAATGGACAACTCCAGCTTTATCAACACAGTCTGAACTCGAAGCGACCGGTTCTGTCGGCACCCAGCTCCTACCTATTCGAGTATTGGCAAATACATCAGCTAGTGACCCACTGGTCCCTTTGCCTTCTCCATGGGAAAGTGTAGAGGATGCTGATGAGGATGTGGATGACCCCTGAACAGATCGGTTGATCCAAGACTCAGCATTCTGTAAGCTCTGGTGCAATGCAGCAGAGAGAGCGGCCTGGCGCCTGAGCGAGCCCTCGTCCTCGGAGGCGGAAGACGTGTCTGTGTGGAAGCAGAGAGAAAATCTAACTGCTCAGGGGAAAAGCACATGGCACTGAACATGCTCTTTCCAATCACATATCAACAGGCTTTCACAGAGGGTCTGTTTTGCACTGGTCAAACCATTGAAGCAGGAGGGAACACACTCACCCCTGTTCGATTCACCTCAAGCAACGTCCTTCCCCTGGCTTCTCCAAGCCTAGGATTTATCCCTCATTACTTTTCCCTTCATATTCCACGACATCAGAAGCTTTTTTGCCTAGTTCTGAGCTTGGGAAGTGAGGGCTCAGTGTCCTTGTGGCAGAGAGCAAACTCCCAGGAACAAAGCAGAACTCAGGGAACGGCTGTGCCAAGGCCACAGCAGAAAATGCTTTTGTCTGGGGCTCTAAATGGGGCCCTTTCAACCTCAGAAAACAAACAAAAAGCCCAGCCCCAAAACAAAACAGAGAAATCTGCAACAAGGAGCTGTTCCTGTGCGTCCCAGAGCATGGACACCTCGGCTGCCCCCAAATTGTGAGCTCAGGAGTTATTTATCATGGGGCCAGCACTCAGCACTTGGGATGCTGGTGTTTAATACAAACACTTGAGTGGTTCTGGCCTAAAATTTAGGTGCTCTCAAAAGTGATTTTCTGCCTACACTCAAGTGGTAAATTAAACTATCAAATGATGTTCTACCCACTTGCCAGAGTGGAAGGGAGTGGAGTGGGACTGAATCCAGCCCTGCTGGAAATGCTGACCTTTATCCACATGACACCCCCAGCTCGGGATGTGCTGCAGTCCTGGACAAGTGAGCACAGAGTTGAGCCCCAGAGCAGACACCAGGAACATGCACCAGCCCCCAGGAGAGAGGAAGGGAGAGAAGGAAGTGTGATAAAGCAGGAGGCAGAGAGGAGGAGGAAGAGGAGGAGGAGGAGGAGGAGGAGGAGTGACATGGCCCAGCAGAGCGGGTTCAGGGATATGAATCCCCCCAGGAGATGGGAATTCATAACATTTGGATGACTCTGTCCATCCAAATGGCTGCGATGCTTCTGCACGATGAGACAGGACACAGAAAACCACGCGGACTCGTTTGGAAGCCAGTGCATTCCAGCTGCTGGAAAACAGGGGGTTATCCATGTCTGCTGCACGTGCACCACACCAGACACCACGTTATCCAAGGGGGAGGATTCTGCTGCAGCCACTACACAGGGAGGGGTGGGAAAAGTCCTGCAAGGCTGGAATCCCACCAGACCCCTCCGAGGTCCTTGCCCAGAAATGTTCATCACTGCAAATCCTCCTCCTGTGTGTGCTGAGCACTGAACCTCAACAAAATCAAGACGTGAATTATGCAGCAGGAACAGGAGTGAGGGAAGCAGAGCCGGCCTCGGTGCAGGCCTGGCCAGCCTGAATCATATCCATGGAATACCCAGAGCTGGACCCACAAGGATCATCTGAGTCCAACCCCAGGCCTTGCAGAGGACACCCCAAAAATCCCACCAGGTGGTTCTTTAAGAACTCCTGGAAGAGGAGCCCCTTCCCCAGCCCTGACAGAGCTCCAGGATGAAGAGTGTGGGAGTCTCTTCCCGGTGTGGGAAGAGCTGGAATATTCAGCCCACTGCAGCCCCTGGGCTTGGCTGCTGCTGAGCCCCTGGACCTTCCCAAGGCTCACCTGGGGGAGTGCAGGCATCTGCTGGGGACTGGACAAACGTGGAGCGTCGCTTGGTGGGCATGGGCAGGGCCATCTTCTGCTCCTTGTGCTTGGCCAGCGCCGCCTGCACCGCTTCCGTGTGGATATCTGGGGACAGGAAGGGTTCCTGAAGTTTGGCAAGCTGAAGGCAGGGCTTTTTTTCAGTCTGGAACATTCTGGATTAGTCATTATATACCCTTGTGTCACCAGCAACTTTCAGAGAAACCTCAACCCCATCAGCTCTTTCCCCTCAGCCAAAGATTATCCTAAAATATGCCTGTGCACAGCTTGAACATGCACAGAGGGTGTGCAGCCCCAGGTGCACCTGGGGCTGTGCACTGACAGTTGTCTGGTTTAGGAAAAACCTCCTGTTCCCAAATGGATGCATATTTCATGTAAATCTTGGAAGTTTAGCTGTGCTTGTAAATGAAGGCTGATTAGGAACTGAAGCAGGCTGGGACTTGAGGCTTCCACCCCTCTGCAAGCCCCAGAGCTCTTTAAAGGAAGACCCACATCACTGGTGAGGAGGAATCAACTTGTTAAAAACCTGCCATGGCCAGGGAGAGCTCATCTGCATTCACTTCTCAGACTGATGTATTTTAATTATGCTTTTGCAGAGCCCCAACTGGGCTCTCCTAACACTCCACAGAACGGGGGGATACGATGGGGAAGGGAGACCTGATGAGCTTAATTTGCCCACCTCGAGAGGAAAATGTTAATTCTTGCCATTGCAAAGTGAAAAACAAAACCAAGTGGAGATAAAAAACCCAGGTGCCACCACCTTGCCCCTTCCTGAAGCGGGGCAGGAGTTCGGGAGGTGGCAACAAATTATTTGCTTTTTCGACTTAATAATAATTCTTTTTGGTTCGGCAGCTGCAGCCCCACGAGTCTGATGTTTCTTTACAGGGAACCACCCCAGCGAGCTGTGGAATAATAATTTTGATTATTTTGATTTGACAGAGCACGTTCCTCCCCACGAGGAGGGGTCCAGGTGGCTCCTGCCCTGCCCTTACCGGAGCGATACCGTTCATCTCGGGCTCCCCCGGAGCGAGCGCGGTGGAATTTGGAGGAGGAGGAGGAGGAGGAGGATGAGGCTGGAGCTGCGGATGGAGGGGGCATTTGAGGTGGTCTGGATTCCTTCTGTAACGCTGGATCAACCCCTGGAAAACAGGGAGCAGGAAATAAAAGAGGCTTTTTCTAAACCCCGCTTTCCCGTGGATGTTGGGAAGCTGCTTTGTCACTCCACGTCCCAGTGACCAGCTCATTATTGACTGGAAAAACCAATAATAAACCAGCAGCAAGAGCCTTTGCTGTCCCCACTAATTACAAACCCAAAGAGACCTCCAGCTGGCCAGTCCTGGCTCCCTTCAGCTCACCAAGTGTGGGGCTTTATCACCCAGGAAAAGTTGGTTTTGCCCGTGAAAACAGGGAGCTAAACAGACACCTCTGCAGCATTTATTTGCCTTCACCCAACCCCAGACGGTTTTGTTTTGCTCCAAGGGCAACACAACTTCACCAGCTGAGCCAGAAGAGCCTCATGTTTCCTGATCACCCGAGTATTTACCAATTCAGGCACCCACTAGATGTCAGCAGCAGATTTAACACTATTTTAACGTGAATTATTAAATTCACATTCGGTTCTTTCGTAAGTCTTGCAAAAAGCCTCTCGTCTCTCTGCGGGGCATCACAGGGCAAACATGACATTCCAGTCAGGAAGGGATCAAAGGTGCCTGGAAGTGACATGACACACGAGAACAGGCTCTTTGTTTCAGTATTTTGCTCTGACATAATAACATGTTGCAGCGGCCTCACAGAGCCCTTCAGAGGAGGGGAAAGTGTAAATCACTGATGGTTGCACAACAAAGCAGCACGAGGGAGCCGAGCCTGGCAGGTGACAGGTGATTTATTCCACGTTCCCCTCGGAATTATCCTGCTTTCCGCCGGCAGGAACGTGACAAACACGGCAGAGAGAGATGAAAAATGAATTATTTATGTTTGTTATTTATCACTGGCTTTTTGAAGGATGCTGTGGGTTCGGTAATCGCCCTCGGATTCTAATGAGGACTGACTGTTTTGTGATCCCCGTGTTTGGAGATTCAGAGACTGAATCATTGGAAGATCAACAAGGATAAATGTTTGCATTAATAACGAGGACAGCAAGTGCCACATGCCCAAGGAAGCAGCAGCCAAACCTGTTACTCTGCCATTTGCACTGGGAAGGGAACAGCAGTGCTGCTCTGGGACTGGTTGTTCCTTGGAAAAAGGGTTTTTTCAAGCTACATGCCTGTAAAAAACCATGGAAATCACCAAATTGGAGTAGCCAGGGTTTCCAGGGCAGCCTGAACACGCTCCCAGAACCCAGGGACACCCACCAGGTCCCCCCAGTTATTCCCCTTTGGAATAACACAAAGCTCAAAGGCAGGGGGAGAAAAGAAGTAAAAAATAAACAGCAAAACTTCACAGCAGAGTTTTTCCTGCTGGATTTTGGGGGAGGGCAGGAAGGACCTTCTGGGACAGGGAACACAGGTCAGCCCACAGGGAAGCACAGAAAATAACATTTCTTTCCCAAAATGCCACGACTTTAGGGCAAAAAGTGGGACTTTGCTGAACCTCATGGGCCCCTTCCAGCTCGGGATATTCCATAATTCTATGGAATGAGCCACTGAAATAACAAACAGCAGCAGCAGCACTTCTGTCCATGCCCAGTTCCTTCACCAGAGCGAGTTCCACAGATATAAGTGGACATTGCAGGAAGAAAATCCATCTCTGGGCAATGAACTGTGGCTGCCTCCCCTCCACAACAAGCAGGCAGCTGCCAGAGGCCGTGAATGGAGCAGGGATTCAGCAGGAGGAACCTCCTCAATGATCCCTCTGACGTGCCCTGACACGTCACCTCCCCTCCCTCACCTCACGTCCACCAAATGGAGACACCCTGAGCCAACCCCAGGACGGTGCTGGGAGAACTGGGATGTGCTGGGAGTCAGCACTGAGTGGGTTTTGTTGTTGTTGTTGTTGTTGTTGTGGAGTAAATTAATTTTCCCCTCATTACCAAGGTGACCCGATTCCCAATCCCTCACGCACGACTTCCCCAGGATCTTTGCAACAGGAGGTTCCCAGACACTGGGGCAGCTGGGTGTGAGATGGGAGGAAAAACTGGGGGGCTGAGCAGGAAGGGCAATTAAACCTCTTTGTTAATTGGTGACCTCCACCATCCCGGGCCTAGGCCTGGACTCCAGCTCCGTGTGCAGCTCCCCGAGCTCTCAATTAATCTCCCAGTCCTGCCAAACGCTTTTCTCCTCTCCTAATTAAGGGTTTTCTGAGACAAACCCAACCCCTGAGCAGTGCCAGGAATGAGGGGCCCAGGATTGTGGCATCTCCAGCCTCGCCCAGGCCCGGGACAAGGGCAGGGCTGCCAAGAGGCTCCGGAGCCACCAAAGGATCCCACATTTCCTCCTGAGGCTCCTGGGATCTCCACAGGCACAAATACTGGCCTGAGGACTCTAAAAACCCACTCAACAAATCCTTCTAAAGAGGGATCAGTCATTTATATATCACTTTCTGGGTTCTTTAAACAGAAAAATGGATTTGAACAAAGGCAGCCACCGAGCCTCCAAGATTCCCATCACATCCCAGTCCAGGGAGCAGCCCTCATTTGTAACAAAATCTCCAGTCTGAAGGTTAAATTACAATTTTTGCTTGCCTTGCTCCCTCCAGCATGTGGCTCTGGCAGAACACACCGACCTTTTGTGCAGAAAACCCAATTTTTATCTCGGATGAGGGAACAGGCCCCAGCTTTCAGTGAACTCACGACCAAATCCAACCTGAAACCAGCAGGGCTGGAGAGCAGGAATGACACCAGCCAGCGTGGAAGGGTCTGGAAGTTGCCACATGACAGCTTTATGTTCCTCCATTGAGTGCCTGAAGGGAGCTGCTGTCATTTCCCCCTCAGTCCTGTGGTGCTGATGGGCAATAAATGCACTGGGAGCCTTCACTCTTCATTAATTATCTTTTTTTTGGCAGCAGCTCAGACTTGGGAAATTCCAGTAGGTCCGTTCAGGACTCCCCATCACACCCAGTAAGAACCAGACATATCAGTTATTAATGGTTAAACCTCTCAGCAGATCAGTGACACAACAATTGTGGGTGAGCAGCCCCACAGAAATGATCAGACACACGTTCAGCCACGTCCTTCAGCTCACAATTATATGTAATTATCCCACATCCAACGAGCTGAGCTGCCCAGGAGCTCTGAACCCAAGGAAACAGATGGGACCAAAGCAAAATAAAGCAAGAAATCATGAAAACCCTCCTGTTTCTCCAAGGAGGAGTTAAGGTGGCTGAAGGACACAGCACGGACCACGCTCAGAAGTTCTGGAGCTGCCAGGAATCCCTGGACTTCCACAGGAACCACAGGCAAAATCCTGTATCCCCACACCTCCACAGTGGGATTATCAGCCCAGGGAACACACATGGAACAGAATAATCCAGAGCTGGCAGAGGGATCTCGGCGCTCCACAGTCTCTCCCCAGACCCCCTGAATGTCACAGCTCCACAAAATCCCGATGCCAGATGGAACAAGGACCTACCTTGGGTTTGGGGGACATATGGAGCCAGCAGCTTTGCTCTCTTCTTCTCATACCCCTTCTGTGTGATGTCCCCTAAAACCAAGCAGACAAAAACTGTTTCATCACACTGGGATTTTTCAGCCTGAGCTCTGTTTGCTTCTCTTTCCAGTGCCACGAAGGTTTCACCTGAAAACAGCTGAGGAAAACCTGCAACCCAGTAAATCCAAGGACATTAGGATTTCAAAGCTCCACGTTACAGAACTTCTGCAGTTTCCCTTGGGATCAGAGATCTGCACCATCCACTATTTAAATGCAATAACTCGGATCAGAGCAGCTATCTAGATGGAATATCAAAGCAACGAAAACCTAAAAAGGGAAACTTGGGAGTGCATGAAAATATTCTGTAACCACAGAGCCAACCTGGGCAAACAAAGGGGAGGAATTCCCAGCCAAAGTGCAAATTTGGAGCCTCACCTTCAACTCATAAGGGAACAGCTTTCAGCAAACCAAGCCAGTCCCCTGCAGGAGCTGCTGAGGGCACCTCCAAAACCTGAGGTGGGGATGGAGGGATGCAGGACTCAGGTGGGGTCTCACAAGAGCCAAGAGAGGGGGAGAAACCCCTCTAAAGTGACTATTCCAGAGAACAGAATAAAGTATTTGTAAACTTTTCCATTTTTTTTAAAAAAAACCAAACTAATCTGTCTGATCCTGGAGATGCACCATCTGGCTGCTGTCCTTTGTTTTAATTTCTCACGTTACATCAGAACCACAAGAAAGAACTGAAACCTTGAAGGGATTAAAACAAAAAAAAAAAAAAAAAGCCCTGCAGTGTTTCAAGCCTTTTCACAGCACTTAGAACCTCTTATCTCTGGGGCCCCAAAGATGGGGAGCCATCAAACACAGCACTAAGAAAACACAGAATTATTTGGTATCAGGCTAAAATCAAGCCACAGTTCCACGGTGACAAGCAGTGAGTGATCACAAACAGGATGTTTTCTTTGCTGGGAGGGAACAGCACCAGCCACGGGGTTTTGCTCCCAGCAGGATCCTCCTGCCTGAGCTGGGGGGGGGGGCACAGCACAAAAGGGGATTACAGGGATCTAAGCCTCTCAGCAGCACCAGTGTCTCTGCTCAAACATTCCAGCTGGCTGCCCAGTTTGCTTCCAAAGGTGATCTGTGGAATGCTTGGAAAGGGAATGGACTCCACTCCTCTGTGCTGGGCACTCAAACCCCAGTGGCACTTGGAATGCCCAGAGTAGGAGTTCCAGAGCTGGAGTGGGACTCAGTGGCTTCAAACTGCCAGAGATTAGATATCAGCAAAAAAACCCCTTCCCTGGGAGGGTGGGGAGGCCCTGGCACAGGTTGCCCAGAGAAGCTGTGGCTGCTCCTGGACCCCTGGGAGTGTCCAAGGCCAGGTTGGAGCAACCTGGGCTGGTGGAAGGTGCCCCTGTGCTCAGCAGAGCCTTGGAACTGGATGATCTTTAAGGTCCCTTCCAACCCAAAGCAGCCCCTGTCTCTCTGGCTCGTGCTGCTCAGGGCAGGGTGTGTGTCTGCACCCAGAACTTTATCTCACTCCTCACCCTACACCAGAGTCAGGCCCTGACAAGCCCAAACAAATCCAGCAGCTGAAAGGGAGAATGTCCACGAAGCACTGGAATGCCAAGCAAAGCAGGAATTTTAATGCCTGACTGCAAAGCAGGGCTCAGGTAATGCTGATCCAGCTGCCTGGACAGGTACCTGCCAGGGCAGAGGGACACCCCAACCAGGGCTCCTGGAGCTCCCAGAGCACCCAAACACGAGGTGCTGAGAGACTGCAGGAGCTCCAAACCCCACCAGCTCCATCTGCAGAGGCAGTTTTCAGAGGATCAGGGAATCTCCTGAGTGTGAAGGGACCCACAAGGATCTTCCAGCCCGTCCTGGCCCTGCAGAATCTCACTCCAACAATCCCACTCTGTCCCTCAGAGCGTTGTCCAAACCCTCCTGGAGCTCTGGTAGAGACCCTGGGGAGCCTGTTGAGTGCCCAACCACCCTCTGGGGGAAGAACCTTTCCCTGAGATCCAGCCTGACCCTGCCCTGGCACAGCTCCAGCCCTTCCCTGGGTCCTGTCCCTGCTCACAGGGAGCAGAGGTCGGAGCTGCCCCTCAGGAGGAGCTGCAGCCCCCGAGGAGTCTCCCCTCAATCTCCTCCAGCTGAACAAACCCAGTGCCCTCAGCTGCTGCTCCAGACCCTTCCCCATCCCTGTGTCCCTCCTTTGGACCCTCTGCAACAGCTTTAGACCTTTTTTACCTCGTGGTGCCCAAAGTGCCCCCAGGACTGAGGTGAGGCCGCCCCAGCTTGGGACAATCCCCTCCCTGCCCTGCCCCCAGGACACCCAGTTCCTTTGGGAGGCACAGGGAGCCAGGGGATGGGCACTGCAGGAAAACACACCTGCACGGAGAGGGGAGGGATTTCTCCCTATAATCCAACCCACAGGTTTGTTTGGAGCTTGTTATTTCGTGATTAATTTCTCCACAAGATTTAATTGGACTCTTGACATTGGTGGTTACACTCTAGGTATATAATGAAACACTTGCCATGGAAAATGGTTGGAATTACTAAGGAATACAACACATACAAATAATCCAAGTACCTTATGAACAAATAAGAACTTTAAATATAAGTCCTGGCAGCATCCATTTCTGTCTCACGTGTTGGGAAGCAGAAAATCCTCATTAATTCCACACTAATATCCCACCAATAAAACAAACCCATCCTCACTGGAATGCAAACGGTTCCCAGACTGGCACTGGGAAATTCTGAAGTTGAGATGAGATTCTACTGAGAAACAAGAAGGTAACTCAGGGCAGAACTCTGCTTGTAACTGAACCGGCCTCGTGATGCAGATCACTGACACTGCTGCTGAAAAAAGGATTTTCTGAGCATAAGCCAATAAAAAAAAAAATAAAAGCCTAATGCTATTTGGCAAGAGCAGGAAAGTTCCAAGGAGCAAAACTCCAGCAACAGAAATAAAGGTGATGAATTGCTGGGACTTCCCGGCAGCGCTGGGTCTTCCTAGTGCTGAATCTCCAGGTAGAGTTGGTTAGAATATAAAGAAATAAATCAATTGTTGTTTTAACAGACAGGGTGATGGTCTCAAACACCTGCAGAGGGTTAGAAAACATAAAGTTTCAACTCTGAGACCAGCCCTCCTGAAGTGGAATCAGGCAGGGATTGAAAGTTAGAGGGAAAGAGGGAAATCTGAGTTCTTTTGCAGAGTGCCAACCAAAACAACATCACCTGAAATAAAAGCTCCAGCAACACACAGGGATTGTCCTCTGGGGAAAAACCTCGTGTGCAGACATGGGAGGTGGGTGCAGAGTCACCTCATGAACAGGATGATGTGATTCCTGCAGCCACAACTGTCCCGCCCCGGTGACATCCCGAGTCCTGGGAGGGAGCAACGTCCTTTTGACACCCAAAAATGAATTTATGGCATAAAACCTCTTCTCCCTGGTTGTGCACAGTCCAAATTCGGGACCAGTCCACCGAGACAGAAACTGAGGAACCACTAAAGGAGAAGCTTTTCTTTCACCCTGTTCCTTTTCCGCTGATCCACGGGAAATGGTGAGACCCGGACACCAACGTGGACTTCCTCATGGAGTATCACACATTGCAGCCACAGGAAGAGCACCAGGACAATCCCCAGAACCATTTGCTCCTCCAACACACACCTGCTCAACCACCAACCCCACTCCCACCCTCCAAATACCCCGTGGCACTCGGGGTGGTGCCGGATACTCCCTGAGAACCACGACCCCTCTGATACAGATACAAGACAGGGCACTACAAAGAACCATCAGCAAAACAAATGAGAGCCAACAGCTTGGCTTTCCAATGGTGTCTGTTCACTCCTGGGGGAGAAATCACAAACACAAACAGTGCTGAGATGCCCTCCTGGCTCCCTCCCAGCCCCAGCCATCGCTGTTGGGGTCAGTCTATATTTATCCGTGTCCTGAGCGGAGCCTCCCCGAGCTGAGGGGGCCCCACGCAGGAAATGGGGTTCTGCTCAAAGGGAAGCAGCTCCAGGGTGTTTTGGAGAGCACATGACAACGAGCTGAGCTGCTGCTGGGGGGGAGGAAGAGGCTCTTCTTCCTTCCTGTCACTGCTGCAGTGACGGCACCGTCATCTTCAGCTTCCACAGGTAACCCTGGGCCAGGGCAGGTGTAAACACAGCCCCCAGCCACTGAAATCATGGAATCATTGGGGTTGGAAAGGACCTTCAAAATCATCTCATTCCCACCCCCTGCCATGGGCAGGGACATCTTCCACCAGCCCAGGTTGCTCCAACCTGGCCTGGGACACTTCCAGGGATCCAGGGACAGCTTCTCTGGGAAACCTGTGCCAGGGCCTCTCCATCCTCACAGGGAGGAATTTCTTCCCAATATCCAATCTAAACCTTATCTCTGACAGTTTGAACCCATTTGCCCTCATCCTGCCACTCCAGTCCCTCTCCAACTTCCCTGTAGCCCCTTCAGAGCCTGGAAGGGGCTGTGAGGTCTCCACACAACCTTCTCTTGCCCAGCTCTCTCAGCCTGTCAAACCACGCTGGACAGTCCAGTTCAGCAGCTCCACACACAACCATTTCCCTCACTGCATTACCCAAACTCAGAGTTTTTCCCCTCCCACCCAAAGCAAAGCTCTACCTACTCCCACCCTCACCACTCATCCCAACACGTGAGAAACCTTCTCCTGCTCCTCCGACAGCTTTAAAAGAAGAACCTAAAGAAATCCTACTCTGCACGACACAGCAGGTCTTGCAAACACGCCTGAGATGCCCTTCTGTGGATTCAGAACAGAAATCAACATCTGTGTTTTGCAGACACAACCAAGGAACAGGGATTTTCCTCCCGTGGAATGCCCGGACAATAATCCCGACTCCGTGACGGAACCCACCAGGCCCTGCTTGTTTGGGATTACACAAGTGCACACCTGAGAGACAGAATTCCCTGGAAAAATGCAAAAAATAATGGATCCTGAGGTAAATATTTTTATCTGACTCTCCCAATTTCCCGAGGGAAAATCCAGAACTGATCCTCAAACCCAACCAGGACGTT